TATTTGACGCAATAGACAAGGTGTCGCAGAAACCGATGTTGCTATAACCAAGTTTTACTGTGTATATATATATATAATTTAATTCGGAGTAGTAAGCATACCATTCATATACAGAAATAACACGGCGATGTAACTTAGAGACTAAACGTCAGCTCTTGATTCACTACATCAAATGAAATCCAATACCTAACAATCAACCGTGAAAGAGACCACGTTCTCTTTCCAATAAATACGTACTACTTTTTAGCCAACACCACACAACACCGAGCACACGTCACAAGGCCAACTACCGCTATCAATGTCATCAATGTCGATATATTGTGAGAGGTGTACTGTGATTGGGTCACACAAATGCGATTCGATATATTGCAATTGATGTATTGTGATTGGTTCTGTCGGCAGTGACTATCTAGTTCGGACCGTCTGCGTAGAGATGGAAGTAGATCCAGCGTTCCTCCCTTCCCCTATGATAGTTGCACCACCCACTGGTCAAGGACTATCAGTTAAACGAGAATTTACGTCATAGCAACGAGAAATTTTGAACTTTCAATTGGCATTCCTAGAATGACAAGAAAGACGAGGAAAGTGTCAACATTGGTCAGCATGGCATCGACGAAGTTAGCACCGTAGTAGCTGGTGTAAATACGTAGTATAAATCGAATGTGTCTTGAAGCTCGTAGTGTGACACTAAAAGAAAGTATATAAGCTTGTAAAGCACTGTGAGATATCGCAGAATCATGTCGGGATCTCATGAAAATATTAGTGTCATGACAGCTTGTAAACAGCCCCTGAAGAGGGTTGAAATTCCGTTAAATAAATTCAATGACGTAGCCGTGCCTCATCATGTAGATTTACTTAAGAAACATAAGACCAATATCGAAAAGGTAAAACTGTCTCTTGTATCCGGTAGTATCCTAATCCTGCTGGTCTAAAATAATTCAGCTCCAGTTTGTCTTCTGATGTAAGGTGTCAGAACTAACTTAAGAAACCATTTTAGTTTGGAGGATTTGTTATTAGTTGTAATGAAATTTATGATGTCAGTTGAGTGAATGTAATATTAACAATTAATGGAATAGTTTTGCCTCAGATGGTCATTCAGTAGCTTATTCAAGGCTTAGATTGTACAGATATATTTTCTACATGGAATCAATTTTTACACATATCAGGTCGATAAAGCTAGTCATCGTCTTGTACTTATAAAATACTTCAGTCCTCATTGAATGTGATATTTGTGTTGGGACGTTGGTGACATAATAACTGTTGTAGTTCATACAGCATTTACCAATGATATTCCATCTGGGTTATTAATAGATATCATCTACCTCGATCACTGAATAGGTTAAACGTTTTCCAAAATTTAGTTTCCTGTTATTGTCCAATGCTGATACTTATGAAAGTCCAGAATATTTTATTTCCAGGAAGTAAATTGCTGCTGATGGTAGAAAGTATTGTAATGCTATAATATATATTCTCGGTTTTATTGCTACCAATTCATGAAAGGCTACAAAGGAATGTTTCGTTTCATGTGAACAGTTTCAACGTCTGGGAGACTGGGACCGAATGCATCTTGAACAAATAAATGCTACAAGACTGATCAAACAGCTGAAGGGCCTAATTTATGAAATTGACATGCTGAGAAGCCAAGTACAAGATTCAGACCTGCAGAAGTTTGACAGTCTTACTGATCAGGCTCGCATGAATGCTCAAGATGCCATTAAGGAGTATCTAGGTAAGTGAAGCAAAGATTTTTGTCTATCAGGTGGTAACTTTTATTGAGGTTGAAGTAATTTGTATCTGGTCTAGAAATGATGTGTGTGTATATTTGTGATATAGGTGGGAATCTTTGTCTTTTATGCTGATGATGCAACATACATTGAGCATATTTAAGGAGATTCATGGAGTCATGAAACAAAAACCAAGAATGACTGTGCTGGCAAGGAGCAGCAACACTTTACCATACAAATTCAGGGAGAGGTGTTGTTTGCATGCACACCTTTGTTATTCTGCCTAAATGCAAAATACACAGCATCTACAATAATTGATCCAGCAGTACTGATTTTAAGGATCTCTGGGTCAGTCTTTTCTGTTAGGTGGATTTTTGTATACGCATTATATACAGAAAACTCCTCATTATCATGGGGAATGGGGGTTGCCAGTTACTTGAATCTGCCAGTTGCATGCAGAAAGAACTCTTGCAGAAAATCGTGTGAATTTCATTTTTGTGTTTCTGTGAGAGTCATTTATGTTGATGCGACAGATTGATGGGTGAAGATTTGAGATACAGCCAGCCTCTACTGTAACTGCACCTGTGTAAGGGATGATGGGGGGGTAGTGCATCTAGTGCATGCTGTAACCGTTTTCCTACACGTTTGGTGCCATCTCGCTTACCGTCCTTTTGGCCCCTTTGTTGCCAGTTGCAGCTGCTCCTCTAGCCGTTCCCACTCACCTATTGTTACTCCGAGTTTGCAGGTTGCTGCTGCATCCTTCTTGTCCAGTTCTTCCCTTTTTGTTGGTGTTGAGGATATTTGATGTTTGCGGGATATGGGTTACATGAATGCTGGGCACCAGTAAGCTTACTATAAAGGAAAAAGGGGGGATGAACCAGAAACTACAGGTGATAGGTTCTGCATTCGTACTAGAGCGATGAGATTCTGTCTCAGGGTGCATACAGGCCTCACGTTAGCAGGAAAGATAAGAGTGTTTATAGCTAGGCACTACCACACACTGTTTAATGGGCACTTTTTGATATTCACTTAATAAAACTTGACCTTAATCCCTTTAAATCACTCAAACTTTTGCAACCGGATCCAGAGACTGCTTTTTAGCACAACACTTAGAAGTGATTACACTTTCACTTAAACTTTGAAGCCAAATTAAGATTCACACTAATTTTTGCATCTGATTAATTCTGCTGAGTTATTCAGAGATTGTTCCAGTAACACTTTTTTTTATTTGACTTTTGAACCAAGCTGCCAGTGATGCCACTTTTTTGGCTGTACACTTGGAGAGTTGTTCAGAGACTGTCTTTAGCAGACTGGCTCTGCTTTGAAGCAAGAAATCTTCACAGCTTCAGCTCCACCTCCATGTTACTACCCTAATTTCGGCTGTTTGGAACAATTTGAATTTAGGGAGTTAACCGCAATTCTCACTGCTCCAGTCACCTAGCTTTAGTTTGGCACTTTGGACCTTAAAGTCCTAATGTCATTTTTGACAGCTGCTTGAAAAATTATACCAGTAGTGTGCATTGCTGGCCTTCCCACTTTTGACTTACGGGGTTCAGAACCTGTCAAGGGTAACTTTACCAAAGGATCCTGCCGGTCAACTTTCGAACTGAATTTCCAGGAAAACTCTGCTGGATGCTTCCAGCCTGGTCTTTGTAGCAGTGAAGCAGACCCTATTCTTGAAACCAAGAATCGGGCTAAGTCACCCTTGAATGTTCCTTATTACATCCTATGCGTAATTACTATGAAAAGAAATCTTGATTACAAATAAAGCTGATGGTGTCAGTGGTACAGCTACAATGCAACCATGTTGCTGACCCTGCATCACTGATACAGCCGCACATGTGACTTAAATTTCTTAAAAGTAGTAAGTTCGTAAAAAAATAGTTTGGTATGAATTTGATGTTGTTTTGCATTTGGGGAGGGTTAAAAGTGTTAATATCCCAAATATCAATGAGGGAAATATTCCATAACCCATACATCTTTAACGTGGGAGCACAGTGCAGTCATTATTCCTTGGTTTCTTGACATTTTACATATAGTTTAATGTGGCTAGCATCTTGTCTTTTCCCAAGATTTGAATGCTCAGAGTCACAAACCGGTTTGGATTATGTCAAGAGACAACAGCATAAGTAAGGTTGAAAATATGACAGAAGACAGAGAAGAGGAAACATTGCTGGAGCAGACATCAGAGATCCACGTCCAAATTAGCAGCTCTGAGGATCTGGCTAAGCAAGAGCAGTGTCTGAAGTCATGGGAGAATCTGCAATCAGAAGTACAGGATATACATCAACTGTTCGAAGACTTTTCACATATGGTTCAGGTGAGGTAATTTACTCACATGGATTTCATTTATTCTTTAAATTCAATAAATCCTTTTTGGCGAAGCCTAGGATGTAGAACAAGTCACAGTTAAATCAAAACATACACAAGAACAATTCATAAAATAGAACTCAGTCACATACAGAATGGTCATAAAACAAATACATAGTGACAATCAAACCACAAATAAATGGAAATCGTTCAGGTTACAATCGATTGAATTACAACCCATAAGAGTCTACACAACACAACCATAACTGATACATTTCACAAAATTTCAATATTAAGGTATACTAAAAGTTCAATTAAATATAAATATAAATAATAATAATATATAAATATAAAATATGATAATTACATATATCTTATGAGATAAAACAGCTGAAGATGACATTATAGATATTTTCGGTCCTAGTACTGTTACTTATTAATACAGGCAATCAGCTGAGCACCTCAGATCCAGTAAAATGTACACCCGTCAGGTAGGATGACAGAAGAGACAAAATTAAAACAACATAAGTTATACATTAAAAACTATACAAGAGATATCAAGATTACCGTCTCTGTCATCCTTGTATTGAAAATATTGTGACATGTTGACCCCTACCTCCCCAGCTGCACGTAGCGGTAATGTAGCGCTCGCGTAATAGGCGAGTAATCACCCTGCATCCTGGTAGCTATGCAACGTGCAACACGCGGTGACGTCACGAGCGGAGTCGAAGGTAGCCGAGTCCCCGCAACCTTGAAGCTATGCAAAGCGAATCAACAGCGGTGATGTCACCGAGGGATATCGCGGTTGCTAGGCAGCAGTCAACAACTCCGGACAGCGTGGCTAGCAACACGGACGAGACGACGATTGTCCGATCAAGGCTACATAAGGAGCAGCGAAGGCTATTCACAGTCAGTCAGTTAGTCCTGGAGCTACCTACGAGTCAGTCCTCGAGCTACCTCCGAGTTAGTTCCGAGTTAGCCAGCAACCAGTTGTATTCTGGCATTTGGAGTGTACTATTTGTGATACTGCAGATAGCAGTAATCGTAAATCTGTAATTTGGGTGATTGTAAGTGCGAATGTGAAATAAAATTCGCTACATCAAATACCTCGTGAAGTTATTTGTCCCGTTATAAGCCCAACACGCGACAATATTCATTTCTAGAATAAGAAGGATGATGATACATAAACCTCTTCAATATTGATTTGAAACATCATTGGCCAGATTTTTTATGGATTGAGGAAGATGATTGAAAATTTAATTCCTGATATATACGCTCCTTTATGAAACTATATTATATTCACTATAGGCACATGTAAGTCACTATGTAATCTAGTGTTATATTTATGAATCTCATTATTTAAGTTAAATAAACATTTATTATTAACTGTATATAATGATAAGGAATATATATACTGGGATATAATGTCATTATTTCCAATTTCACAAAAATGTCCCTACAGGAATCTCATGGTTTAGCATTCATTACATTTCTAATGATTCTCTTGCAAAATAAACACATTCTTAGCATAAGAGGAGCCACCACAGAAGATTATCCCATAACTCATAATAGAGTGTACATGAGCAAAATAAATTAGTCTCAAAGTTTCAAATGATACTATATATTTTATATTTCTAAGTGCAAAACATGGACAGGAAATTTTACTGGTGGCCGTATCTATATGATGTTTCCAAGACAACATATCGTCAATAATCAAACCAAGAAATTTAGTTTCTGATACAGTGAGGATAAATATCTGATCATAATTACTATAGGTAACGATGTTACTATGTTTCGTAGATCGAAAAAGCCAAATATTGAGTTTTACAGAAATTCAAGTTAACCTTTAAGAGCCGAGCGACGCCATTTGGCGTCATTAAAATAAAGTCAAGGGGACGAATGACGCCATATGTCGTCACGCAGTCCACGCGTGCGGCCGTCTTTTTAAAATCTAATTTTAAGTTATAAATTCTTTTTCTACTTACATGATTTTTGGTCACCATCTTTCTAAGTTGACTCTCTTCCCACCTGCGTCATCTAACGGAATGTTGGCTTCATGTTGAAATCTTGGAAACGTCCGGAAATCCAGAGTCCGACGTCACACTTCACGCACTTTGTCTGGACGGTTCTTCGTTTCCCACGCGAAAACACGACACCTCAATTGCGAAGTAGAGGAAGTTGGCCAGTGATGTGGTTTGGCCTCCTCTAATCGAGATATCTCAGATGAAACGGCAGGGGTTTGACCCCTGGGCCGTTGATGGCCAGGTGGACCCCTTCCAGCATGTTCCGCACAAGAGCGAGACGAAATTCTCTGTGTGACAACAGGATGTAACTGTTCAGATCCAGGAGATGGAAAAATAGTTTATTTGTCCATTTCCAGGTTCGACGACAGATGCTATAACTGTTTGCCACAGTTTGCCAACAGCTCCACCTGAATAATTATTCATACTCCTCTTGCCATGCTCGTGTGGTGGTCCCCAGGTTGCTGACGAAGACGATGGATCTTCGTCGAAATCCATTTCTGAATCACTTTCCTCAACGCCACTCTCAGAATTGTCTGTAAAACAATCTGATTCGGAGTCATTTATGAGTTGAAAAATGTCTGAATCTTCCAAACGAGACCACGCCATGGTGAGCTGACAATATCATTGTTCTCGCTGCGAAACTTTGAAGCTTGATGACACTGCTTGGCTGTGGTATAAAGACGATAGCCTTGAGAGTTGTGATAAACTAACCGAGCAGGGTCAGTACAAAGAACTTGTTGTGTATAAACAATCAACGTTCTTATAAACGAAGAGATACTCGCCCCTCATCTCGGCATACCTAAAGAAGGTACTACATGTATAAGCTTCGAGACATGCAAGACAAAACATGTCTGCATAACCATCCGCTATGTTGCCACATTTACATAGAGCATTCTTAGTTCCAAAAACTATATGAATTCTCGTAGACAGATGACAAATTTGGGAATTTTATACTTGGAATCAGTCTAAAAAATTTTACACATTTTATAAAGTATGTAAATTACAATATCTGATTCTATATTCTTTCTAGAAAAAAGCAGCGTCTATTTGGTTCGTTTATCACAAAAATTGTAGAAATCACAGCAATTTTAGTAAATGATCACAGTTTTTATTGCTTTAAAATGCGGGTATTTAAATCAAATCCGTCCCACTGCCATTACCGCAATTTAAAGGGCCGTCACTTAAAGGTTAAGCAGATTGGCATTAAACCAAGCATTTATATCTTTGAAGGTTTGATTAAGATTTATTTCAAAACTTGAATTATTTGAATCCACAATTATAATACTAGTGTCATCAGCATACAATACCATATTATTATTATTATTATTATTATTATTATTGTGGGTCAGTCATTAATATAAAATAGGAACAGCAGAGGCCCAAGAATCGAGCCCTGTGGAACTCCATGAAAAAGTGTCGAGGTTTTCATGGCGATTGATCAGATTGGCCATCTGGATTGTAACACCATTTTTCTTACATTTCATGTCCCATGCCTGTTTTTCTTTGGAGTGGGTTCTGGGTTCTGGCTCCCTTCCATTTTATTAGTGTTATTCTTGCATAAGTGTACAATGATAATTTGTGTAGTACCCCTGACATGTATTATTTTCTCCTTTGACCTTACAGTTATGTAGCAGATCTTTTCATTCCTATTGGCCTGAACTGGGTTTTGTCACCTGTCCTTTGGATCTAAATGACTATCTCGCAGTCTGATTATATAAACTGATCACATGCTGACACTGTTTACTTTGACACTGAGAAAGGCGGCAGCATGTTCCTTTGAAACATTTGTTTCTGCCTGCAATATTAAATGATGTCACAGCCCAGAAGACATCATCTGAATATTTAAATTAACTTTAAAATTCCTAAGTGAAAAAAAGAAACAGAATACAGTATAGAATACTTACTTACTCATGGAGCTGAGCCCTTCTGGAGAAGCTGCCAATTCTGCAGCTACTCAAGAATTTCCCAGCATTTTATGGAACCCAAAGGTTCATTACCGTGTTCACAAGAGCCCTCTGCTGGTCCCTATCCTGAGCCAGATTAATCTAATCCATACCATCCCATCCTATCTCTCTAAGATCCAGTTTAATATTGTCCACTCACCTATGCTTTGGTCTTCCCTATGGTCTCTTTCCTTCTGGCTTTCCCACCAATATCTTATATGCATTCTGCTCTCCCGTATTTGTGCTACTTGTCCTGCCCATCTCACCCTCCTTGACTTGAGTATTGTAATTATACTTGGAGAAGAGTAAAGTTATTAAGCTCCTCATTATGCAGTTTTCTCCAGCTGTCTTTACACATTATATATATAGATTTTGATTATTAAGTACATTCCTTTGCATGAATAGTGTTATCTTGCAACAGGAACAAAAGGAGAAAGTTGATGAGGTAGAATGTAACATAGAAGAAACATCAATGAATGTAAAGGAAGGTGCATCGTTCCTATCAAAGGCAGCAAAATACAGGACTACAGTGTATCCAATAGCAGGTGCTGTTCTTGGTGGGTGTTTGGGAGGCCCTGTTGGACTTCTTGCCGGTATCAAACTGGGCGGGCTGGCTGCTCTTGGCTGTGGGTTCATTGGTAAGCACTCATAATTGAATTTAACTTAGCATAATTAGGATTTTATTTGCTGGGACAACCATTTTTAATTTTCAGTGTGCTACACTGAAGACAACGGACATGGAAGAACACAAATGGAAAACATTCAGGATGGCATCCCACCTCATCGCCCTGATGCCATAAACATTATCCACAATTGACATTCTGTTTAACATTTTTTGTTTACCAATGAAATACATGGAAGTGATTATTGTTACTGGAATGAGACATCAGACATCATAACTGTGAAGTTTCCTGCTAGGAAAGTGTGCTTCATTTCTAATAAATGTGGCATTCTCTCTTCTAATACACATTATTGTCTTTTCTGGCATAATTTTACTCTTAAATACATATAAATTGTCATAAAAATAATTTTGTTGAATGCAAATTTGAAACAGAAATAAGTACTTCATATCCATAATTGAATTTTTGAAATGAAAATTGAAACTTCGTCTGAAATAAGTTTGGTTTTCTTGCCATGTCCCACCCCTACTGTATGTGAAAGTTTTAATATAGATGACAGTCTTTATTTATCCAGTGTTCAGTACCTCACTGGATATTATTTGTTGCATACAATGTGTGATGTGTTGCATTTCTTTGGTTTCTTCCTTTTTGAAGGATTTACTGGTGGGCACTTACTGAAAAAGAAGCAAGAGGCAGAACAAAGCAAGAGTGATGTTGAACTTCTTAATATTCAGCGGTCCTACAACCTGAAGGGATCTGTATCCTTGCCACATATTTGTGATACAAAAAATATTGCTGAGTGCAATCCTGAGGTACCTGACACAAAGTAAATGCCTTGAAACAAAAACTGATTTATAAAATGTGGGCTGTGCAAGTTGAAAATATTTATATAGTGAATCTTAGTACTATTTAAGTTGTTCTGACATGCTCATATGTACAGACTGAGTCAAGGATGTTACTGTGCTTTTTATTTTTTGCAATTCTTCCCTTTGTTGACATCTCTGTTTGTGTTAAATGTTGTATAAGAGTATTTTATACAGATGAAAAAAGAAGGTAAATCTATCCCTGTAACAGGGCGTGAAGGCCCTTAGGGTTGTGAGACGTCGAGGCTCCCACATTTTCTAAACAGTCGGCTCACAGATGGTGGTAAGGTTGTCAGCCATATATGCCGGCCATCCTTTACCCCCCAGGAAGATTCCTGGTTCTCATCTGTTTTAGAGGCTGAGTCAACCCCAGGGCCATAATGCGGCTGGAAGGATCAGGTAAATTGAAAAAAAGAATCCACCTTGTCGGGACTTGAACCCATGACCTTCCAGCTTGTAGCATAGTGCCTCAACCAACTACGCTACTGCATGCCCCCATTTTATACAGGTGGAGAGATTATTAATTGACAGAGGTAAGGACTGATATCAAATATATTTGGATTGTTAACTGCTCTATCATTATTTTTTCTGTGAAAAAGTTTTTCTGAATTTGAATATTTACTATGCTATTTTTACTACATTTTGAAATTCAGAATTGAACTTCATTCAAAACTTGTTAGAAACGAACCTTAAAATTTTATATTGTAGTCTCATGGGTTGTGACAGTATGTTGTAGATTGGTAGATGAATGCTACATTTTAGCATAACCCTTAAGACTAATGTGAGTCTTCGCTGTGATGAAAACCTCAAAACATACAACCGTAAAAATATTCGCACATGACACATTTGTTACTATTTCATATGATGAAACTCAGCTGGTTTCTTAAATTATAAAGCAAATACCAAAGCAATAACAAAAATTATATTTGTTTTAATTTATACTATTATACAGTAAAGTCCCTCTTATCCAGCATGGGTAGGGGATGGAGTATTCAATTTACATGGATTTGCATGATGAATGAGAAAATTCTCACAGAAAACCAATGCAGAGTCTAAGCAACACAGTTTTACTTTAGTTCATTCATGGGAATCTTCCTAGGTGACAGCAGATTGACTGGTGAAAGATTTCTAATACTTGTACTGCAACATAACTGCACATTCAACTAGTCTCAATTGTAATGGCGCCTGCATGAGGGAGTACAGCAGTGATGCTAGTGGTGGCTGGGAGAACTGGCAAGTGACAGATGAACATAAGCACATCTCGATTTTTGTAATAGCTTTAAAAAATGGTAAATTTTCTCTGAAATTCTTTCAGGTTGAATGAGAGTTCCAGGTACTTGGATACAGAACTACTGGGAATTTACTGTATTGTGTTATAGCCTCGATTTAAGGGCAAGTGTAGCAGTCATCTACAGTGACTGACATTTTGGACATTATCATCGTGTTTTATTTAAAGTGATATTTCGGAGACTGGACTCTGTTCTCAGTTAAAAAGCCTACTCAGTTGTACCTAATTCATTGAGCTAATCCCCATCTCTGGAAGTATGGAACAGATTAGGCCCAACTGAGTAGGCCTTTTACCTGGAGACAGAGACAGGGTCCAGTCTCCAAACTGTTCCTTTAATTAAAAGCAAGACTATAGGAAATGATTAGTCATTATATTAATATACTATCATCACGTGCTTTTAGATCCTATCATTTACTTATGTTTGTTTTTATTTTAGTTGTTTCCTGAATTAATAAACATCAGTGTGGTTATACCATTGTCATTTTGAAACCCTTGTGTCTGTAAACATTCTCTTAGTGCCTTTCAGTCTTTTGAATCATGGCATGAAATTGAGGTATACGGAAGCCATTGATAGCTGCATACACAGCTTTTTCAGTGATATGGAGTAATATTCGCCAATATCACTTAGACATTTTTCTATGATGAGAAGAGGACAATTGCTTTTGCGAAAAAGGATTGTGACGCATATCTCGGACTTCAGTTTTCCAGATTAAAAACTTGAAAACTGTAATCCAGTTTACAAAATAAAGTTCCCTGCTGGAATTATATTCCTGTCAACTTTAATAAATATAAAACTCCATACTTTCTGCTTGATATGGAAAGTTGTATATACTCAGAGAAATGACACTTATTCCAGTTTATCCTGTTTCATGGTAGCTGTGAACCCAGTAACCTGGGTAAGAAATTGTATAAGTAGATTGTAGCTTGCTGCCTGCATTTACCAGTTTCTTGCTTGTCTTCCTGACCATAAAGATGGAGGAAGTATGTATCTAAAAAGTGTGAGATTTTCTCTGAACTACAATGAGTTACAACCAAGGAAACAATATCCTCCATAGTCACTGCCATGAGAACTCAAATCCAGCAATGAATACCCTGTTTAGTATTGCAGATCCCTGTTGGAGAATCGGACCTGGGTATATTGCCTTGCTTTCTATGGGACTGTTAAGAGACATAAACAGAATGTCACCATGGAAGGTTGTTTTTCATTTAAAGCAGTCTGCAGACACAGTATTCCACCTACTATAGTCCGAATACTGCAGACTGCAAGTAACTGTTCAACACAAAGCTTCTGAATCATGTAGTCATGTTATCCAACATACGTCAAAACACCAATGTGTGCCAGTTACACAGAAACTTAACTTCTTTTATTTAGTTGTCAATTACATTACATAGATCAAAAGTTAGTCAAAATGACTGTAGGATGTGGATGGAGGGACTGATGATGCTTGAAGCACCCCCCTTTCTACCTTATCTTGTAGTCCCCTCCAGCCCCCTCATGTCATACATTACATTACATTGCAATGCATTGCATTCCATGGATCCAAAGTTAGTCAAAATTACTGTAGGATGTTGAATATGTCATAAATACAAAACATGTACAGGCCCAATGGAGTTCTCACACGAGAAACCAAGAATACACAGTGACTACACACAAGGCTATTTAAAGATACACAAGTTATTTTCTAGACAATAGGTATTCATCAAGAGGGTAAAATGAATGTGTATTTAAATATCATTTCAATGCTAATTTAAATCATGCCTTTTCATTCATAAGACCTTTGAGATCAGATAGCAGGTTATTAAAAATGTTCGATTCCAGCATAATATGCACTTTTCTGAAAGCTTGAGAGGTTAGTGATTGGTCTAGGGAAACAGCATTTGTGTCTTGTGTTAATACTGTGTACATCCGCATTCGTCTGAAAATGTTCTTCGTTATTTGTAATGAACTTTATTAATGAATATATATATATACAGGGTGTCCCAGGAGGAATGTGCCAAACTTCGGGAGGGTGTTCCTTATGTTAAAGTATGCCGATATAACCCAAAACACCTATGTCCAAAGTTGAACGGTTACGGAGATAATGGCCCGAGAAGTGTCAAACTTTGACCGGGGTTACACACTTGTTGATTACAAAATACATATTAAAACTGGCAGGAATATGTGGATTCTGTAATGTTAATAATGTACGTAACATCAAACCAACTTGTGAGTGACGGAAAGCCATAAAATTGAAGTACAAAATACTCGCTCGCCATGTCATAATTGTCCTTAGGTTTCCAAGCAGTATACATAACACATGACTGGCGAGCGATGACGTAACGTGCTGACTGCGCGTTCTGGTATGAGCCAACTACATAAGCACGGCTAGGGAGTATCATCGCACTCAAGGACAAACATAGATAAGGGCTCTCAGCTGAGAGGTACAGCGAGGTACAGTGCTTGGACCTGCCAGAAGACCACACTTTTCTTGGGCCATTATCTCCGTAACCGTTCAACTTTGGACATAGGTGTTTTGGGTTATATCGGCATACTTTAACATAAGGAACACCCTCCCGAAGTTTGGCACATTCCTCCTGGGACACCCTGTATATCTTCACAAAGCAAAATTAAGATCTGTAGTCTCTTAACTAGATCTACAGGAATTACGGGATTTGACACCCATCATGATTCTAACAATTTCCTTTTGCACTGTCAGATGAATTACCCCAGAAAATTATTCCATACTTCATTAAAGAGTGAAATTAAGCAAAATAGATTGATTTGAGTGTGTCAGTGTTACTAATATATAACATGAATCTAACTGCATAACATGCTGTACTTAACTTTGGAATCAACTGATCGATATGGTTTTTCCAGTTTAAATGATTATCAATTTGCAAGCCAAAGAATTTTGTGTTTACTCGCTCTTCTATATATTATATCATTATATCCTATGTCTAATGGATATTGTGGTGAGTTTTTGTTTATAAATTTTGTTATATTTTAGTGTCCTGTTGTACTGATTTTCATCCATTATATGTATACAGTGGCCATCTTGTAGTGCACTCAATTTCACCTATCACTTCACAACATAGTGCCATCCGCAGGTGTCCCAATTACGTCAATCTATTGCATTGTTTGCCCTCATATGTTTTCACAACACCATTTAAAAAGTCTGTATTTGTCAACTATGATAAATTTACACTCGCTAAAACTTGTTAAGATAATTCATCTTATTTGTCTTAATTAAAACTTGCATGTGGTTCGTTCACTACGGGGTCGCTTTTCTTATTTTCTGTGTAAACCACGTCTTGTGATGTGTGAATCATCTAAATTTTTACCAAAATTATAACACTAGTGTCATCTGCAAATATTATAGGTATTGATGATGTCCTTAGTGTAAGAGGGAGGTCATTTATATAAATTATGAAAAGCAAAGACCCCAAAATTGACCCCTGTGGAACTCCATGTTTTATTATTCCCCAGTTTGAGTATGTACTTTGGATTGAATTTGATGATTTTATTTTAATCTTTGTTTTCTGTCTGTTAGGTAGGATCTGAACCAACTTAACATTGTTCCTTGAATGCCAAAAAAAATGTAATTTAGTTAATAAAAAACAATCATGATTTAAACAGTCAGAAGCCTTTGCTAAGTCACCGAATATTCCACCAACATGCATTTTTTTATTAATAGATTTTAACGCACTGTCTGTTAACTTAACGGCTACATTTTCAATGGAAATTCCTTTCCTAAAGCCAAACTGTTCTGGGACTAGTATATTGTTACTCTGAAAATAATGGCTTAACCTACTGTGCATAACTTTCTCAGGTACTTTAGAGAAAGTAATTAGCAGTGAAATTGGCCCGTAGTTTGACATACTAGTCTTGCCCCCTTATTTATATAGTGGTCTTAATAGTGAAAAATCTTAAAGATGATCATGANTTAATAAAAAACAATCATGATTTAAACAGTCAGAAGCCT